GGACAGCTTGAGGCTCTGTCTCAAAACAAAACAAAAAAAAACAAACAAACAAAAAAAAATTCTCTCTCTATAAATACTCAGGGAAAAAAATGTTGCCAGCTGTTGAAAAGACAGAATGGCAGAGAACAGATAACTCCAATGTAAACAATACAAAAAAAGTCTGGCTGAAACAAAACCTAGTGTATTAGGTAGTCCATTCATATTGTAGCAAGGTATTTTCCACTGACAGAAACAGTCTGTGCAGACCAATGAACCTAAAAACAGTCAAAATGAGTCTCTAGCCATCCAACCAGCTATAAATACTAGGTTCTAGAAGATTAAATATATTGCAGTATAATAAACAATGATATGCAAAGCTTCACTTAAGAAAGTAAAAAAACTGAAAGTAGCATGCCAAGCATTTCATTTTTTGGAGATAATTATGCATCCACATAATTAATACTTCATTGCAGAAGAGAAGGATATTTAGCAAAAATCTTGAATTTTAGAATAATGGTAAGTAGTTCTTCAACTAATTGCAAAGTAAAAGCCTTGTCATACAACTAGAGAAGGACCAGCATCTATTTGCACATAAAATTATCAGTAATACAAGTTAGTTAGCTAAATCAAACATCTTATTACTTAACAGGCACAAACTATTTTTAAAGTAGGCTTTTAAAATGGATGCTCACTGCCCCTAAAACTGTATGCAGACTGAAATGTACTTTAATCAATCATTCCATCCTTGAGATAATTCAGTGACATTATAATGCTAGAGATTTCACATTAGAGACAATTTCAGTTATATTCTTTTTCTTTTATGTAGTTTCTTACATTTAAAATATAATCATGACATATTAAAAGTAATCTACACTAAGTCCTCTTGTGGTAAAACTCTGTTTACAAGTCATCCTTTTATCTAATAAAAATTTCATTTTTTTCTTTCACTACTATGAGACAATGGCAAAATAAAATCAAAAGCATAGTTTTAAGCAATTTTTTGTAAACATGCAGTAATAATACCTTCCAATTAAAAAATAATATTTCAGACTTAAAAATAAATATTACCAAATAGTATAAAGAATTCTTATATATCTTCATCCAGATTCCCAATGATTAATATTTTATATTTGTTTTAACTCTTTCCCTGAATGTATATACATGTACACATATAAACACATAAATTATTGGCAGTATTTTTGAAAAATTTCAAGAAATGCTGAAGACATGACCCTTTATCTGTAAATAATACATATTTTACAAACACACACACAACCACAGTACAATTTTCAAAATCTGAAAATTAACATTAATATAAATAATCACATTATCTAATTTATTCATATAATGAAACTTTATTCAGATTTCATCAACTGTCCCAGTTATATCATTTGTAGCAATAAATATAGTTACTACTATAAAGGACATTAGTGAAATAATATTTCTTATCAAAATTTATCAACAGTTAAGTTTCTTTTTTCCTGGTCAAGGCTCTAATTCAAGATTAAAAACTGTATTTAGTTGTCTTGTCTCTTTAATCTGCTATAATTTAGAATAGTTCCTCTGTCTTTCTGTGAGCATGACCTTAACATTTTTGAAGAGTAGAGACCATCTATTTTTACAGAATGCTCCTCAATTTGGGTTTCACTAATGTTTTTCCATGATTAAATTCATTTGAGTTATGTTTTTTTTTTTTGGCAGTTTTTGGCCAGGGCCAGGTTTGAACTCACCACCTCTGGTATATGGGGCCAGCGCCCTACTCCTCTGAGCCACAGGAGCCACCCTGAGTTATATATTTTTGATACAACTACCACAGAAGTGACACTGTGTCCCTCTCACATCAGAGTTGATATTTTTTGCCCCATTACTGCTGATAGTAACTTTAATATGGTGCCTGCATTTTTCTCTAATCAAATACTTCTTTTTCCTTTTCATTAACAAGTATGTTGTGGGACTATATACATAGCATCTTGTTTTTTACCAAACTCTTCCCCATTAGGTTAGTATCCACTGGTTCTAACTTTTACTTGAAACAATTACCTGTATTATTATTAAGATCAAATGATGATCTTCTAACTCCATCACCCTGCCAATATTTATTAAGGTTGGAAATCTACGATAAGGAAAAGTGTTTCATTCTCTTCTCTCTCTCTCTATCCAACCATCCACCCACCCTACTCACCCTTATTACTGAGGATTCATGGATTAGTCTATGGGCTATGATCTATTATTCTCATTATCTATTTTGATACTCAAACTTGCCCAGCTTGATAGTGAAGTCCCCCTTAACAGCTGGCTCCTGTGTCCTTCTGCCATGGCTCCAACATTCTTCAATCACATTCTTATTTTGTGAAATAGAAAAAGATTTATTTCAAGCTGGGCACAATGGCTCATGCCTGTAATTCTAGCACTTTGGGAAGCTGAAGTAGGTGGATTGTTTGAGCTCAGGAGATGGAGACTAGCCTGAACAAGATTAATATCCCATCTCTACTAAAAATAGAAAAACTAGCTGGGTATTGTGGCAGGCACTTGTAGTCTCAGCTACTTGGGAGGCTGAGGCAAGAGGATCGCTTGAACCCAGGAGTCTGAGGTTGCTGTGAGCTATGATGCCATAGCACTCTACCTAGAGGGCAGAGTAAGACTGTCTTAAAAAAAGAAAAATGGGATTTATTCCAGGCTTATCTTTATATTTTCCCAGCCCCAGACCTGGAATTAATTATTCTTCCTAAGGATCCCTGATTCCTTTTAATGGAAATAAGTGTTTAAAATCAAGATCTATATGCTAGGCATGCATACTGCTACTGGGTGTCACTGCTTCTAGAGCCTCTCTAGAGCTAGGAAACAAATATACAGTTATATGCATGTGTACACACACACAGATTTTAAAAACCACAAATTCATACTGACATCTTTTCTATTCCTCTGAAGTGGCCCTATCACCTGTGTTCAAATCTCCTTGCTCCTTTACCCCTTCTTACAACTGTTTCTGCTTGAGGCCAACTTCTTTCTTCCTATTATGGTTATATATTATAGTTCTATACTTACTGACAAATCTCTAAAGAAGTGGTTCTCAAATTCCTGCACTTTAAAATAAACTGAAAATCTTTTCTTATATTCAAGGATGACTTATAGGTGACTGTTAAGTAAAGGTAGAACTCAGAACACCATCCTGGGAGTTTACTCTCCTAATTATCTATCTTACTTCATATGGGCCACACAGAGGGAGATACACCCACCTCCTCAACGCCTAGCAGGTAGCTGCTATTTGTTGAGTGCTTTACCATTTTTCTTATTTCAAAACACATAAAATTTTCTAACTAGGAGCAACGTGCAGGGCACAGAACAGTCTTTGGTCCTACAACTGAAAACAGAGAGGAATAAAAAGACTATTAGAAAAGAAAAAGGGGTGGTGCCTATGGCTCCAAGGAGTAGGGCACCAGCCCCATATGCTAGAGGTGGTGGGTTCAAACCCAGCCCTGGTCAAAAACAGCAAAAATAAATAAATAGATAAATAAAAAGAAAAGGTACCAAACTTAGTGGAAGATTCAAAACAAAACAAAACAAAACAACAAGTGTCAGAAAATACTCAACATTAGTGGATACATAATGGTCAAGTACCTAAACACAAAAAGCAGTTATTAGCAATTTTCAACATGTAGTGGTTAGAAAAAGGGAAGAACGAAACAAAAAAAATTTTTTTTGAGTTGGAGTCTTGCTCTGTCATGCAGGCTGTAGTGCAGTGGTGTGACAATACCTCATTGCAGCTTCAAACTCCCAGGCTAAAGGGAACCTCTTGCTTCAGCCCCTTGATGCTTTAGCATTTAGAAAATATGCTAATAAACATTGCTAATAGCTTTTTGCTAAAGGAAGTTCAATAGTACTTTTCCTTCAAAAAATATTGTTAATGGTCTATATTTTGCAATATATCTGAATTATATTCACATATCACTTAACAACAGGGATACTTTCTGAGAAATGTGTTGTTAAGTAATTTCCTTATTGCACCTGTGTGAGTGCACTTACACAAACCAGATGGTACAGCCTACTGCTCCCAGGCTACAAACCTGTACATTATGTTACTGTACTGAGTACTGTAGGCAACTGTAACATAATTTGCATATCTAAACATAAGCACAGAGAAAATATGGTATTATCATCTTATAGGACCACAGCTGTATATATACACTTCGTGAGTGACTAAAAAGTCAATATACGGCACAAGACTGCATATTGCTTTTTTTTTCTTTTTTTTTTGAGACAGAGCCTCAAGCTGAGCCCCTGGGTAGAGTACTGTGGCTTCACTGCTCACAGCAACCTCCAACTCCTGGGCTCAAGCGAGTCTCCTGTCTCAGCCTCCCAAGGAGCTGGGACCACAGGCGCCCGCCACAACGCCTGGCTATTTTATGGTTGCAGCCATTATTGTTGTTTGGCAGCCCGGGCTGGATTTGAACCCGCCACCTTAGGTGTATGTGGCTGGCGCCTTAGCCACTTGAGCCACAGGCGCCGAGCCACATATTGCTTTTAAAATGCAACTGGCAGTTCAGGTTTTCCAATGGTTCAGACAAACCTCTCCTTCCTCAGGTCCAGTAGAGAACATTTATAAAGTTTTACTGCACTTACAAACTTATTTTAGTCTTAGAATCTAATGAAAGTGCTAAATCTTCATAAAATATCACAGGTTACCTTAGCTAAGAACTAGAATGCCAAATTAAATACTAAGCCTGGGTTATGAAATGTCATCTACACTTGGGAAATCCATCCTCTGATGTATAAGAAAATCACATCCACAGAGTTATAGAAATTCTTATTATTAACCAGTAGGAGAGTTAACAAACTAAAATAAACTATTTTTGGCAGCTGTTAAGCTTCACAGCTGTTGTATTAGCAGCTGACAAGCATAAGCTTTCAATGTTAGGAGAAACAAACAAGAAACCACAGAAAATACTTTCCCTCCAATTATAATTCCTCATAGTTTTTACATTGAAAAACTATGTTTCTGATACTTTGCAATGTTAAGAGAATATGTTATTGTGTGTGGCATTTACTGTTGTAAGAAATGGTAGGCAGTAATACCCTTCTGAAATATGCTTTCCTTTATACCATATCACTCCATAGCACGAGATCTTGTTTCTCTTCCTTAAAATTCAAAAATATTGCACTGTTTCTAAAAGTCAGATGGGGACAAGTTCTGAAATCTGAAATCTGACACAACTGACAACTCAGAAAAGGAGAAAAAGATTCCACTGTTACTTCTGACTATTGACAGAAAATGAACCTTTTCCTCTTCCCACGACCCTACAGCAACAAAGTCCATTTTTACTTGCAAGAACTAGAATTTGGGTTCAAAGAAATTGTAATCAATTCAGCGACCAACAAAGATAGCAGTAGTATTTCAAATTCTCTGCTTTCCAAACACAGGAGATTTGTGATAAAATGTATAGTTTATTGCATAATGCAAAACTTATAAGGTACATTAAGGATATAGAATTTCTCATATCATGTCAATGGGAAGCCTAAAATAGTATGATTAGCAGAATCACAAAGGGCATGGGTAGTAAATACAGTAAATAACGAGCCAACAGAAGTTACCTTAGGTCCTTAAACATGAAATGTTCGATTTTAAATCAAAAGATTACTTTATTATAATCAAACAAGGCATTCTAATTAATCAATGTGCGACACAGTTTTGCCATCTTAATAGTAGCTTGTGTACGCTAGCAGCGAAAAGCCTAGAGAGGAGCGGTCATGAAATTATAAAAGTATTTTCCACATCTCGTTGAGAAATGAGTATTTTTCCTTGCAAGAAGCTGTCCAAAGCTTGGAAGTAGTAGTAGCTGGGGCAAGGTCTGATGAATATAGTGGATGACAAAAAGTTTTGAAGTCCAACTTCCGTAGTTTAAGCAGCAATTGTTTGTGTTACCACTATCTTGTTAGAGGACTGGCCTGTCTCTATTGACTAATCTTGCTGCTTAATCCCAAATATCCTCATTATTTCATCAGACTGGCTGCAGTAGACAGATGCTATAATTGACTGACCAGGTTTTGTGAACCTGTAGGGCAGCAGTTCTCAACCTGTGGGTTGCAACCCACAGGAACTGTATTAAAGGGTCACGGCATTAGGAAGGTTGAGAACCACTGCTGTAGGGGATAATACTAACACTGAACCACCAAACAGATACTGTTAGCTTTTTTTGATGAGTATTTGGCTTTGGACTGTATTTCTGCACTTCATCTTTATCCAACCACTGTGGAGAACGTTTGTTATTATCAAACAGAATCCACTTTTCATCACAGGTAAAAATAAGGTATAGAAATAGTTTGTCTTTATGTCACTGCCAGCGAAGAAAGGCTGGCTTCAAGACGACGTCTCTTTTGATACTTGTTTAATTCAAGTGGAACCCATCTATTCAGCTTCTTTACCTTGCTGATTTGTTTCAAATGGCCTGATATTGTTGGAATAGTATTGTCAAATCTTGCTGCTGATTCACATGTAAGTTGAGATGGATTCGCTTCCACTATAGCTTTCAGTTCACGATTATCCACCCTGGCTCAGGTCACCCATGTGGTCATTTCCAAGATTAAAACCACCAGAACGGAACTTCTCAAACCATCTAGGTATTGTGTCCATTAGCCCACATCCTTCCCAAATACTTCCTTGATATTCTGAGTTATGCTGTGTTATTTATTCAACGGAACTCACATCAGAAAATAACATGAATTTTGATTTGTCCATGGTTTCACAAAAATTGCTTTAAAAAAATTTTTAAAGATAATGATAAGTCAAAACATGTGTTTGAAAGAATGAGAACGTACCTTCACAGTAAAATTGAAACAAGAAGTGTCAAAGTGAAATGTCAGAGGTATGAACTGTCAAACTTATACTCAAGGAAATTGGACATTTCATATTTAATAACCCATTTCTACTATCTCTAAAGAATGTCATGGGTAGTAGATAAACACTGTGAGCAACTGGCCAACAGAAGCTACCGAAAAGTAGTATCACTAACAGAAAGTTCATCAATGTCAATATGTCAACGTTGTATCTAAGTTATTCAAAATTATTTAAGTTTTTAGAAAAAACTATTGGTCTTAAATATTATTAAGCTTTTAATTAAATCTAATTTGCACATTACCTTTCGAGTTTGCATTTTCTCTGTTCTCCTCCGAAAGGCAACATAAGGGTCATTGTTGGTAGAACCATCTCTTTTTTCTTGTTTTATCTGAGGAATGAGAGATGGTCCCCTGCAGTTTTTACGTTTTCTCACCCAGTAGTCATATACAGCTTTAATAAGGTAATCATCTTCGTTTAGCAGCAGTTTTGCTTCTTGAAGTGTTACAAGCTAAATGAAAAATACAAAATGCAAAAATGTAAAAGGAAAACAAAAAGAAAGAAAAATACAAATGTCATTGACTACAACATTTCAAAAAGAGAAATCAAAGTCAGATTACAGTAATAGGAAATATGATCAGATATTATGACAGAAGGTAAAGACACAATAAAATCACTCCTTAACAATGGACTCAATCATTAGGAGATTTATCAAGAAATTAATATTTTGGCCCCAGACATATTACTTTCCGCCACTTAATATTTAAGGCTAGAAAAACAATACTTGGAAAAAGCACAGTAAATTCATGCCTTGAGTAAGATAACACGACATTTTAAAACTAATACTCTTATCATTCTAAACATTTGAATACTGACTAGTTTTAAGTCTACTAGCTTCTATTTGTTTTTCAATAGAAACTAGAAAATAAGGGTTCTTTTTACTCACCTCTAAAACCAGAGATGAATGAGTATTTCCTAATAGATTGGAACTCATGAAGAAAAAAACAAACTTAGCATGTTTCCAGAAGTTTCAACATCATGGAATTTTGAATTCTTCGTACTAATGATATATATTCTACTGATAACACTGTCTTGTCTGGGACAGTGGCCCTAGGACGGTTCCCTTAGAAACTGTGATACTGGTATCTCAGGGACCTACTTCTCCTTTATCAATGCAATCAGTATAATGCTGACATAGCTCAAAAATTTGCAAAAATTTGCTTGGTCACATCTATAGTTTTGCCCTTTGGAAAGATCAGATAAGCCAATCAATCAGCTTTAGTAGGAGGAAATGGGGAATGCACATATCTATTTACAACAGTGGTTCTCAATCTGTGGGTCACAACCCCTTTGGGGGTTGAACAACCCTTTCACAGGGTTCGTCTAAGACCATCGGAAAGCACATTATGATTCATAACAGTAGCAAAATTACAGTTATGAAGTAGCAACAAAAATAATTTTATGGTTGGGGGCCACCACAACATGAGGAACTGTATTAAAGGGTCAAAGGGTCGCAGCATTAGGAAAGTTGAGAACCACTGATTTTTACAGTGAACTCTGGCAAAAGATTATGACCCATTTTAGGGTTGGAAAGCCTCACTGCAGTGATGTTTGTACCACTTTAGAGATGAACACTTATGTGGACATGAAGGAAAAACTTTTCTCACAAAAGGATCTGTATGTTGTATAAAGTCTGTTTATGAAGGCATGACTCATCAAATAAATTTCTCGTGGCTTGACTTCTTGTATTGGTATAACTTCATGGAATAAATGTATTAATCATTAAATTTCAAGTCTTATGATAATGATTTCTATGGATAATTAGTCAGTTTCTTTCTTTCTTTTTTTTTTTTTTTTGAGACAGAGTCTCACTATGTTACCCTCGGTAGAGCACTGTGGCGTCACAGCTCATAGCAGCCTCAAACTCCTGTGCTTAATGATTCTCTTGCCTCAGCCTCCCAAGTAGCTAGGAATGCAGGCGCCCGCCACAACACTTATTTTGTTGTTTAGCTGGCCCCGGCTTGGTTCAAACCTTCCACCCTCTGTGTATGTGGCTGGTGCCATAACCACTGTGCTACAGGTGCCAATCCTAGTTGGTTTTTTATTATAATTTTGCTTCCTACTTAGTTTGACCATAGGAAGAGAACACATTGGCATTGTCAACTCAATGTGACAAGTACATTTAATGCAGTACAAAACCAAAAGAACTAATATTTCCAAACAACAGCTTTAAATGGGTACCTTCCTATCGTTAACTGAAGTTCTCTGGAATGGTGATGTAGATCCTCAAAGTCTACAAGGACATAGGTAGAATAAAAATTAAACTTTCTAGATCTAATAAAATTCGACCTTATCCTGACAGTGTTATAGCATCACTGACAAGGCTTCTGAGCTCTGGATGCTGAGGGAAACACTGCTGTGATATACTACATGTGCTTCAACTATTTGGCCACTATGCTTCTGATACAATACTGTAATTATCTGCTAATCAAATCAAAACCCAGAGTGAGGAAGAGGGTTAAGGACTTTCCACCAGGCAGCAGAAGAGTACTGAGTTTCTTACATCACAATACTATTGAGTCAACACCACCTCCTATGCTCCCATATGATGTGTCAGGAGATTTAAGCACCTACTCAGATTTTCTTCCCTGGTGCTTCTTGCTTTAGCTTGTAAAGTCTTTTGCCTTAAGTATCCATTATATCACAGATAATAAGAATTCAACATACAGTTTACAGTTAAACTGAATATTTTTTTCCAGTTTTAACTGTATTTTTTCAGATAAATGCAATTTTTATATTGTTATACAGTGACTTCCTATTCTATGAGATAATCTTGGTTTTAATCATTCTGTAAAAATTATGCTTAGGCAAGGTAAAGATTTAAATTATCTTTAAACTAAGGCAACTAGTATCACTAAATCTCTGTTATGGTGATGGCATTCATTTGACTCAAAAAGAACTATTTGTAGATAAAGTAGTCACAAATTATGTCACATGATTACAAAAACACAAAATCAGAACCCTACTATTTTTATACATTACAAAAAAAGTTCTGTCATGTAGCACATAACATCATCTACTATTAAGCAGAAAGCCGTAGAAACTAGTATTTAAGTGGCAGAAGGGTCTACGATAAATATTATTTTCCAAGGTATCCCTAAGTTGTTTGATTCACTTTACTTACTACTTGGAAACCTGGTATTTACTTACTACCTGAGAACTTGGTGATGGGGAGATAATTTTTCCTATTATATAGGCTTTTCTTCTAGACTGCTATAAGCTTCATGAAGACTAGGTCCATTTTGGTTGCTAAATGACAAATTCCCTGGTGCAGCAATTTTAATACACAAATGAATAAATTACATGTAAAAATTAATGTCTTTTGTAAAACAGTTGATAAAGCAACAAGTAATTAACAATTAACTATTATCAGCACACCAATGAGTTACAGGACGTGGGGGAAAGGGAAAAGACTTTAAGATGAACTATGTAAAAACATAATATGGCAATAAAGGTAAGACAAGTACAAATAAATAAGAGAACAATGTAAAATCCGGAACTGAGTGTTAGTATAGTAAGATATACACAAAAGTAAGAGAAATTTCTATCTTAGAGTGCCTTTATTTCTTTTTAGTGTTGACAAGTGACCACCTCTCTGCCTTCTTTTTTCATATATACCTTCTTTTTTCACTCTATTTCTTTCATATCTGATTGTTTATTATTTGTGAAACAGCTCCAGTAATACCAAAGGCAAAGTTCCATATAACGCAAGGGTGTCCAACCTTTTGGGCTCTCTAAGCCACACTGCAAGAAGAGTTATCTTGGGCCATACATTAAGTACACAAATACTAACAAAAGCTGATGAGCAGAGAAAACATTCCATGCATAATTTTTGTAGTATCTGCTATGAGAAATAAGCAAAAATCCCTCACACAATGATCCTAACTATGAGGCCAGGTGCAGTGGTTCATGCCTGTAATCCTAGCACTCTGGGAGCCCAAGGCAGGTGGACTGCCTAAGCTCAGGAGTTTGAGATCAGCCTGAGCAAAAGTGGGACCCCCATCTCTAAAAATAGCTGGGCATTGTGGCGAGCACCTGTAGTCCCAGCTACTTGGGAAGCTGAGGCAAGAGGATCACTTGAGCCCAAGAGTTTGAGGTTGTTGTGAGCTATGATGCCATCACACTTTAATGTGGGCAAGAAAGTGAGACTCTGTCTCAAAAAAAAAAAATATTCTAATTATGCACCAGTCCATTCAGAGAGTCTTTAATGCCTCAATATCTGGTTTGATGGAAGTAGTTGCAATTCTCAGTGATTTCTCAAGATGCTCATGAGATATTGGTTCTAATTTTACCATTAATGTGTTTCATTCTTGCAAATAGTTGCTTGCAAATGTAGGTGCTGTCAAAAAGCAATGACATAAATAAGGCATGACTGTGAAGCAAGGGATATATATCTGTATCTAGGAAGAGAGGACCTATAAAAGTCCAGTAAAGATAGGTTGAATGCAGTGGTACCCTGGGAGGCTGAGGTGGGAGGTCCCTTGAACTCAGGAGTTCAAGACCAGCTTGAGCAAGAGCAAGACCTGTCCCTACTAAATAGTAAACACAAAAAATTAGCCAGGTATTATGGTAGGCACCTATAGTCCCAGCTAGTTGGGAGGCTTGAGGCCACTTGAGGTTGAGGAGTTTGAGGTTACTGTGAGCTAGGATGACGTCAATGCACTCTAGCCAGGGCAACATAATGAGACTCTGTCTCAAAAAAAAAAAAAAAAAAAAAAGTGGTCCAGGTCAAGTGGCTCACGGCTATAATCCTAATACTCTGGGAAGCTGAGGCAGATACATTGCTTGAGCTCAGGAGTTCAATACTAGCCTGAGCAAGACCAAGACCCCATTTCTAAAAAATAGCCAGGCATTGTGGCAGGCACCTACAGTCCCAGCTACTTGGGACTGTGTCTGAGCCAAGAGGATTGCTTGAGCCCAGGAGTATGTGGTTGCTGTGAGCTATGATGCCACAACACTCTACTGAGGGTGACAAAGTGAGACTGTCTCAAGAAACACAAAAGTTCAATAATGAGACATGACCAAATTTTTCTTTAAATTCAATGTCAGATTGCAGCTCTATGGATTCTATTTGAAAACTAGCAAATAACATACTCATGGTGACTGAAAATGGAGTTGCAGATGCACCAAAATACTGATTATTTTCCTGGAAATCTTGAAATGTTTTCAAATTCTTATTTCAAATCAAAAAGCAAGACTGCATATTTTCTGCCATACATAGCCCTGTGCTTAGCCAACATACTGAAGTATGTAAAACTGTCTGCCATAATTTGAGCTTGCCATAATTTCCGTTTTATTTGGAATGCTGTTATGGTTTAAAATTGTACTGATAAAAGTTCATTTTTACCTTGAAGATGCATGTTTAACTGATTTAAATGAGCAGTTAAATCCACTAAAAATGCTAAATCTGTAAGCCAGTTTCACCGTCCAGTTCTGGCACAGATTTGGTTT